ACATTCAAACGAGTCACCCATGCAGACAAAAGGCTGAAAGTCAAGAAGATATGCGCCTCCATTCAAAATATCACGATACTTCAAAACGATAAAAGGCAAATCAAGTACAATTTAAGATAAGGTTTTCTGTTCTATCACAAACGGAGAAATTATCTGCAGAAGAACAGACTATGCATAAAAAAAAGTTTACAACAACGCCCCTCATTTCATGAAGTAAACAAAAAGTAGACGAATGAAAGCACTTTAAGACTCAAATTACACAACAAGACTACTCAGTAAGACTCGCTTGCATTGCAAGATGCAGCATCGTGTCCAAACACTGAAACAAAATAAAATTAGAGCACAATAAGAATTCCATAAAGAGAAATCATCAAATCAATCAGCAAATGTCAAACCCTCAAACATTCATACTAGAGAAAATACTTTTCACGCTTACGGCTAGTAGGCAAAAAGCTGCCCATCACTACTCCGTAACGACCTCGCCACGCTGAAAGAGCCTGTTAGCAATAGCTGTCAGTGCTCCACAAAAAGTGAAAATTAGGAAGGGACAATACGGTTCTGAAAACAACAACGATTTCATCAGTGATAGCGTTGATAAATTTGAAATGCAATACACAGTCAAGTAAATAACTACCTTTGCAATAAACAGTAAAAATTACTCAATCAAAAAACGATTTGTGTGCAAAGCAACTCAGCCGTTGCAGGTCCCAAGACAGGGTGAGAAAGGAGGAGATTTGAAAACCGTGGCGAGGTCTCCGTAAAACGTAGCCACCTGCCCTTCATAGAATTGCCGCCATCGAAAATTGTACTGACTCATTCGTCGCCAGGTTATCAAAGGCCGCGCGGACTGAGGCAGGCGGCAAAAAGACGGTGAACAGAATTTGCTCACCGCCTTCTGGCAGGGAGCATAGCAGCACGACAACGACTGTCAAAGTTCGACAAAACGACGACGATCATACTAGTCAGCAACGAAGCCGCTACCCGTTTTAATAGGAGAAAGCAGAAAACGCGATGCCATTATAGCACGACACATAAAACATAACGGGAACGATATCGACAGAGGGGGCTTACAATCGGAGATGGGAATATATTCCCACTCAGAGGAAAAAAGTAGGAGTTAGTTGATGAGGCCGCAGGGTACCAAGGACTCTCGTCAACGAAGTGCCAAGGCTTTGGAATCCTGAACATCTGCAGGTGGTGCAATTCTACTCAGGTGTGGACATTACGAAGCGCGCTCAGGCCGGTGTTGGTGTTCTGGTAGAACCCAACCACGCAGATAGAATCATTGATCGGAAGCCTGTCAGCGGAAGGTGGCACCGACTGAAGCTAGCACAGATTAAAACGTTGACCTTGTTAGGGGTCTATGCGCCCAAGTTGGAGGGAGAAGATGAGACCTTCCTTGAGGAAGTGCAGTGTACTCTGTCC